CCGTATGATTATGAGAGACGCCATAGTGGAGGGCTCCGGGAATATCGACCAACTGGGGTTCTTTAACGTGCGCCCAAAACTGAGCACACGGACCTACAGCAATTTCGCCTCCATCGAAAATGCAGTTGCAGCAGCCAGAATTCAATCCCGGGTCTTCAACCGAGTACTTTAGCCACTAGAGCACCACGGCGGGGCAAGAAAAAGGAGGAGAGGGAGAAGGAAGGTGGCTTTCGCCTTCGAGTCGAATGGACAAAGAAACGTGTGCGTCTCTCAGCAGCGAAGCTGCTTAGGCTATTCGTAATTTATGCGGCCAACTAAAAACTACAATCATCATAAACGTCCATGTGCCACAAAAATTGGGCACACGCTTGGAGGAAAAAAAAGGAGGGAGAATTACGTCATCAGAGAGGTAATTGCATCTGATAACTCATACCAGATTCTTCTTACAGAATATGATGAGATCTTTCCTCCACAATCTAAATTTCAATCCCACATATTCTTAGACAACAGGCTAGAATAGAAAATTAACTGGTGCATATACAGACGTATAACATAATAGCTACACATGCTTCCGTCAATGAGGAAAGGGTAGGCGAAGGAGTAGTCTCCCAATCACTTGGCTGGTCATTTGCCGTGAGGCTACCCGATTTCACTCCGGTTTTCGAAGCGCAGCCTATAGCAGCCATTATGCAACTGCGAAAACGTCCGATGAGTGAGAACAGCGCAATATTAATTACTGATTCGCTCTCGGTATGCACAGCTCTTACAGCTTCACATACCTCTCAAGCCACATCATGACGTTGTGATCTTTAGTTTTGTGTCGGCTGAAGTACCTGAAATTAGTGTGGGTCCGAGGTCATTGTGGGTTAACATTAAATGCATTGGCAGACGCCTTAACCCGCTCATCGCTAGATCTCCCAATAGTTCAGGCTCTTTCAGTGGAATACCTCACCACAATCAGGTATAGAAGATTAGCTATTCGCACAGATAGGATGGAAGCAATAACAACGTGGATGGAATATAATAATCTATAAAATATCCATGGAAGTCGAAGTGGAGCCAATCTCTGCTATGGGAAGTGACGATCACCAGATTTAGACGTTTTGTCCCCCCATTAAACTTTTACTTGTACAGGGCTGGTCTGACAATATTACCCCTCCGCCAATTCTGTGAACGGGCAAATATTGCACATTACTTTTTGTGATGCTCAAGATATTCCCGTATTTGAACTGAACTTCTCATTACTCCTCTTGAAAAAATAGGCTTGACCTTATCGGAGGAAAATATTCTAAGCTTCAGTTCCTCAAACTTGGGATACTGCCACAGGGATGCCTTTTGATGCCATGTGTCATTTCACTATAACTACTCAACGAGTACCATTTTTATCTGGTATTTAAAATGCTTCGTAATTTCAATAAGGTAAAACCTAACTAAGTTTTCAAAATTGTTTCCATCGGGTTAATACGGCAGTCTGAAATACAAGCTCCAAAGCATAACACGTGTAGTTTATATTGAATATATCACGTATTGTCATTTTCATTTCTATATTTTTGGTTTTTAATCACATACCTTACCTAAAACAACATTTAACAATCTTGATGTCGACTTCTCTACCAGCCCCACCGCGGTAGTTTAGTGGCTAAGGTACTTGGCTGCTGACCTGCAGGTCGCGGGATCAAATTCCGGCTGCGACGGCTGCATTTCCGATGGAGGCGGAAATGTTGTAGCCCCGTGTGCTCAAACTTAGGTGCACGTGGTCTGAATTTCCGGAGCCCTCCACTATGGCGTCTCTCATAATCATATGGTGGTTTTGGTACGTTAAACCCTACAAATAAATCAATGAATCATTCTTGGCCAATCTCCCAAAATGGGTACGTGCGAATTATAGAAGAAAACAAACAAACAAACAAACAAACTAACTAACTAACTAACATTACGCCACATGAGTGAATCCCACCATGTCGGCCCAACACATGACGAAAACGCCAGAGCGTGCGGTAGTTTTTAGTACTCTCGGTGGTGTGTCCGTTTATGAACCTCCTGCGTGAGCCGGCCGGTCTGCTCCGAACAAGCGCGTTTCGATTAAAAGCTACCGGGCCCCCATACTACGAAGTACCGACAAGTCTCGTTGGTGGCGTGATCTTGCGCAAACGGTCACGTTTTGGGCCAACAGAGCTAGCTTCAAAACGGCATGGCTTGCCAAGGCTAGAGTGACCTAGCCAAGGCTGACTGCGTGACGTCATGCTCTCGTTTTTTTTTCTTCCATGGGCACACCTTGATACTCACAACTGGTTCACTAGAAATAAAGACGGTAACAGCCAGCCCAACCAATGGCTGCGAAGCCATGGAGCTGAGCCGGAGACCACGAGTATGTACAACGCAAGAGTGCTAGGCAACAGGAAAGAGAGACAGAGAGAGTGGAAACATTTTTGAAAAAACAAAACAAAACAAAAGAGGCTCCATAGTAGACAAAGTCCTTATTCCGGAACCCCATTGGTGACACTTGCTAGCCTAGCTTTCTGGACCAGAGCTCTGTGGGTTTGAAGGTCCGAGCAACCCAGCAGGGTCGCCTCCCACTCCTCTCTGGTTAGGTTAGAGCTGGGGAAAAGAGCTGAGTTGAGCTGGCAAGTCCAAACAATGTGGTATAGGGGCAATGGAAAGGGCAACAGTGGTGGCGAGAAGACCCTAAATGCCTACACCAACGGTGACGGGCCCGTGTCGTGTCTTCACGACTTAAACCACCATCTGTAGTTTGAGTCGAGTTTCTCAGTGGGAAGAACCGACGTAAAAATAACCTAGCATCCCCCATGGCCTAAAGCCTTGCAACGACCGAGAAGCAACGTGTATCACGCAGCTAAGGCCAAAAGACAACCTAGAAGCAACCAGATCACAGTCTTCAGATTTCGTCCAGTTTCACATTCCAAGTCTTGTGTGGCTTAGTGAAAGTTTCGCCATTATTTTTGTTTTTGTCACACGAATGACGTCAAGAAGTGATCGCTTAGCTAGCGCGGTCTTGCCATATTTCTTGACTTCATTTCTCTCACGCTTGCTTTTCGTTCAAGGTAATGTTACGTTCAGTGGTACACGCCTCTTGCCTTATAGTTTAGCAAAAGCAGCATGACGCAACTTAGCACATAATATGTTATTTGTTATTGTTGTGGCTTTCATAGAGCGCATATTGTTTGTGAATTCTATGAACACACACTTGCGCGTACGAAGTTTGCCTATCTATGTTAAGCTTTGTTTATAGTTTTGATTAATGTTTGACGTAAGAGGCCCGGCATAGTTTTATGTCTGTATGGTATCCATTATTTCATTTATTCATTTGATATGTCAACACCGATGCACATAGACTCAATAAAAATATGGGGAGAGAATGCTGGCAGCTGCTACCTAGAGGGACGCAACTGCCTACTCTTTCAGCAAAAGTGAAGAGACAGAGAAAAAAAAAACGACAGGAGAGAAAGAGGAAAGTATATAAAAATATACAGAAACACCAACAAAAACTTGGACAAAAGTGAGTAAAATCGCAAACACACACAAAAAGCAATCTCTAAGGGGGCAGCCAGATTTCATCTCTAAGGGGGCGGCCTCGTTGCGTGGAGCAGCACACCCATTCGAAAAGAGGCAATCTTCAGTCGTGACACAAGCCCTTTCAATAAGCCTATATTCTTTAATAAACTACTCGCCCCTGCATTGAGAGTACTGGACATTCTAACATAAGATGCTTAAGTATTTCGCAGGGTCGACATAATGTACACAAGGACCACACAGAAACCCTTGACTGGAAGAGCTCTCGTAAACAAACACAGTGCCAACTGTTCGCTTATAAAATAGTGTTTTGACGCTTTTGACGCAACGAGGCAAGCCATCACCGCGTGCAAGGGTAGGGAATGATCCGTTTGGAACACGTTAGTCTGGGTGGTGTTATAAGGTGTCGGAGAGCCAGCAAACAAACGTTGTCTCTTATATAGAAAATTTCATAATAGGCACGCTTATTATGGTTACAAGTTAAAGCGAGGTCATCAGGCTTTTAATTTTAAGCAACCTCCACTAAAGAAGGTATCCACTGGGCATCGAAAGTCACCACACAAGATAACTTCCGGGGCATTCTGCGATACTGCATAAAATTGGGCTATCATCATTCTGAATACCCTGCCAAAAACAGCCCATGCAGGAGTACGTGAGGATGCCGGCTTATCAGGCTGGTAATTTTTTTACACGTAATTAGGCACCATTCCAATCGCAGCTAGTTCCACTGTCCCTGATGAAGATGGATCGTGTGTTTCGAAAACCCAGCTGATATCATTCGAAAGGCACAAAAGAGCTGCAGAAGTGGAGTCATTAGTTTTTATTGTAATCTCCGACTTTGACATGAGATAATTGCTTCTGCTAGCTGGATTATCACTGGAACAGGCCGATCACACATTTTTTCACATTTCGTATTTATATGATATGAAAGGAATCTAGTTATCATTTTCTATCAGCGCGTATGAATCATTAATTGGTCTATAGTTGGACGTATACATTCCAGTTTGTTTATGCTAGAGAATCGTTTGTTTCACTCTGATACAAACAATTAGTAATGAGGTGTGTCACACTGTGTCACGAGTACTCGTCCAGATCATCTGGCATTCTTGTTCTGCAATACACAAATAATTTACACAACCCGCCACGGTAGTGATGCAGTCATGGCGCTCTATGCAGACGCGAAGGTCACATGACCGAATCTCGGCGGCGGTGGTCGCACGTCGATATAGAAGCGAAATACAAAAGGCCTGCGTATTTAGATAAATGCGCATGTTAAGAACTCCAAGTTATCGAAATTCCCGGAGCACTAGAGCTCCTCAACGGTGCCACTCACAATCATATCGCGGTTTTGTGACGTGAAACCACAGGATGTGTTACTACGTTTCGTGAAGATTGGGCAAGAAAACTTTTTGTCAGCATGTCTCGCTCATACAGTTGAAGAAAAAAATAAAGAAATACAACAAACTCACTATTTGGGCAAAGGGCGTCGGTTCTTCAGAGTTGAGCACCACTGGCATGGAGAGCACCACGAGCATGATGGCGTGCACCATGAGCGCGAGCACCAGATTTTGGTGCACCCGCGTGCGAGAACACTGCAATGACCTGCGTGGAGAACACGACGAAATGCGTCTGAGAGATCACACGGTATGCAACGATCCAAAGGCGTTCATTATCCGTAAAGCTAGACCACGCCAGATTATCGCATTGGGCCAATGATAGCAACTGAGCTTGCCGCTTTTTAATTGCGATTACATTTTGTGCAATAACCACATTGTGATTGCACGGCATTCTTTGGTTTGCTTCAAATGAGCCGTTCGGGAACCGTTGTACCACTATCTATACCGTGTAATCTAGGACCAATTAGTGCCTGATTTCCGAGAGGACCTCGCAAAGCACCTTGACAGCATTTCTCAATGGCTGTGTGGTCTTAATGAACGGTCCGACTAGGACCCAAGGAAAATGGTTCCAATGATTCTAGAAGGCGTGGCTGCAACACCCAGTTAATTGATTCGGGACGCCGAGATTCGAAGACACTCTCTTTCTAGGTATCCAGAATAAAATTATTATTAATGAAAAAAATTGCCCAAAGTATAATCGTGTGATGAACGTTCTGTCTTGCAAAGTTAAGTGCAGTGGTACCGACGCCACATGAGCTAGCCGAGTGATTGTGTTAGCCTTGTTTCATTGTTCAAGGTGTAAACGAAACAGAACTGTTTTCGCAGGACAATATACGACCCTTACAAGTCTTCTGAGCATCCTCCTCTCTCGAAAATGTATACATAACATTAAAAAATGTCTAGACATGTAAACAATCGCTGGCGGTGCGGACAACAAAGCGACAGTTAAGAAAAAGCATAGAGAGGAAAGGAAGGGATGTTACCCATGATGGAATAGCTGGTTACGACACACACAAACACACACACACACACACACACACACACACACGAACGCACACAAACACACAGGCACACAGTCACACACACATGCACACACACACGCACACACATACAGTCTCCAGAGTAAGGCTGTTGAGTTCAAAAAAATTTAACAGTGCGTTCACTTGCTGTGATTTGATGTGTAAGCGATAATGGTTGTCCTGAACTGTTCTTTTTCTTTATTTTTTGCATTTTTTGTCGATACCTTTTTACAAGGTAGCAAGCCACTTACACTCTTGTTGGCTTTCCAACCTTTGAAATTTTTTAAAATTTTTTCTCTTTCGAAGAACCGCCACCCAGATGGTCCACCAGCTGACGGCGCGTTGTAAGGGAGGAGGGGCAGGAAAGGGAGTCGGTGATTCGGGTTCACGCTGTTGCACATTATCTTTTAACGATGTCATTGAAAAGGTTATCTGATCTAAAATCACGTCGCCGGGAGGCTTTCTTCTTTCGTAACTAAATTTACAGTAAAAGCCTTACATTCATTTGCAGCGTGGAGCAGAAAAGCTGCGAGAAATTTCTAAATTTCGCAATTTTGTTTCTTGTCCGCCGGCTGTGTAAGGCCCGCGGACAAGTCAACCGCCGACCCTTGAATCAAGTTTTCTGACAATCTTATTGCCTTCTCACAGACAAGGGTTTGTCGACTAGAGAGGTCATCTGCCCCTATTGTTTTTCCGTTCACGTTGTTCCATCAGATGGCGAACTTTAGAAACTTGTTCAGCGCTAAAACGAACTCGCACCTCGCAAAAAAAGTGTTTGCGCACTTTTTGTGACACGTGTTATTGCAACAGATGACGACGACAGCTAAAATCTGAAAAAAAAAATAATGGAAACGGGACAGCGTCCGGGCGTCCTTTTTTGTGTTGTCGATCTTGGTGCCAATACTTCAAATATTGAGGCTTCCCAGTCTTCATATAAGTTGCTTTCTTGAATGCATATAGAGACATGAAGCTTCGCTTCCATACCACCTTTTGTTGAAACTGGTGTTCACGAACGAATTTAAAGCGGTAACGGGAATGACTGACAGTGAGACATGCGACGTTTGAGGGCTCGAAGAAAAATATCGAGCCTCCCTGCGCTTTTACGCTCGATTACATTGAATAGATGACTATTTTCCAACGCACTTGGACGGCTAGAGGATCGGCTATCATTCGTGCAGGTGATACTAAAACGTTGTCCTTATTTCACGTCGGCCCACAGGGCAATGATAGCACTCGTGCTTTTTGAGGACTACGGGCTTGTTAGTAAGCCTCCGAATTTTTGTGCAGTCCTGCGCGCAGATCTCTACTCATTACTTATTTCATTTTTTGTCCTTCTTTTATCACCCCCACCCTCTCTTATCTTTCTATTCCAGTCTTCTCATAACTGAGTGAAAAGAAGCCAACCGGTAGTTTTTTGTAGTTAACCTCCCAGCATACTGATTTTCTGTTTACTTCCTTCTTTCTTCTGTAGAAGGGCTGAGCGTGCAGTAATCGGTCGCTTGTCATGGGAATTAATCATGTGCGAGGACTTCGCGGTTAGCAGTATTTCCTCTATTGTAACGCAACCGCCATTGTAACGCGAGCAGTGAAACATCTAGAAATAAAAAAACACGGGGTTTGTTTGAGTAAGTACGGTATATGGTACACACGATCATTCACTATTCTTATTGACTTATTTCGATGCATTCTTATACAAAGTACTTTTGTTGTTTCAATTTCTTATTCTTCGTTCTTCTTGCTTCATCGCAGGTGCTTTGTTCATATGTGATATTTCAACTTTCTAAAGCCATTCCACGCACTTATTTCTAACGCATGGGGTGGCCCGACCATAAGCATTCGTTTGTTAGGAAGGAAGCGTACATATTTTAACGGATAATGCCGGAGACTTCAAATTACGCAGGCATCGTCGCTGTCTTCAGTATCGTGAAATATCACTATATCGCAGGCTGATTTGTTCCTCTGGAATAAGATGAAGTGAACTATTTACCCTCTGCCTTTCTGAGTAGCACTCGTCTTCTTCACTACACAACAAACATAACAATATAAAAAAAAGTCCAGCCAGCTCTAGCCGGTTCAAGCACTCAAGGCTGTCGAAACCAAAAGTTGACGTCCCCCTTCGAAAAGCTATTGGCTCTGTATTTTCTACGTCGGGTTTTTTCTTCATACGAGTGATCTAGGCGATTCTGGAGGAGCCAACAACCCACGAACCCACACTTTAGATCAATAATTCACTGAGCTCCTCAATCACCTGCTTCTCGCAAACAACTTGGTTCAGGACCAAGCTTCAGAGTAACCTCCTTGGTGAGGATACCCTTTCCGCCGAACCACACCGAGCCCTCTTGGCGCTCCTCTCAATAGTTTGCTCATTCTATCAAAGAGCCCTGAAACACTTTTTCAAGTAACCATGGAATGAATTCAATGGAAGAGCTTATTGCCTCACAAATTCAACACCGCAAAAAAAATTTTAAAATTCGTTCAGTGCGAGTGGAGTTGCAGAGATTTGTCGCATGCTGCAATTGCATTGTCTCTTCTCTCATCCCGACAAAAGCACTGGAAGCTAAGCAGTGAGGGATGACAGGGGAAAGCAAACACGTCAGGCGCGCCTCGTGAGCTTGAGCACTTCTTTTTTTTTCTTCGCATGCGCGGCTTTTCAGTGTGATCGCACGCGCACGCGTGGATAAGTCACGGCCTCTCGTGGCGATCTCTGTAACGACCGTATGCACCATGTCCAAATAAGCCAATGGCTGATAGAGTGGCTTTCTAGGAGTAACTTTTGAGCATCTTCCGTCATTTGTCGAGAGAACAGACCGCAATTTTCAGCTCACTTTGATAATTTATTGCGAGTTCTAGGTTGCGTGCTGCGCTATAGTATTCGGCTCGCCTGTTGTCGGGAGCCTCTACTACCGATCGGCAGTGTTTTCTGACCATGCTCAAAAAGTGTTGCAGGGCCCCTTTAAGCTTCACACTTGACTCCTCGTGGTGCCCTTTCTACTGGTTCCATCCTTCGCACAAGATTTCACTCTCCCTTCTCATGGCCCGGTACTGTCTTCCTTTCCGCCAGGCCTCTCTCACCACGGTGCAGTGCTCTCATTTCCTGCCGAGACTCACTGTCGTCATTCACGGTGTTGTGACCAGAATTGCATCGACTTCGGCGGAGGGTTGACCAGGAACAGCGTTTTCAAAGATCTCTTCCCGCTGACAAAAACTGGCCGCTGCCTAAGGCATTACACAAGGGAATGCCACTCCCGGCCGCTCATCGAGATAACGTCTTGACTCATACAAATAGAGTGAGACGAGCGAAACTTTTATAGCGTAAGGAATATTCCCGGAAGATCTCGCAGTAATTAATTCCAGTGTGAAATTTCCCAGCCTGAAAAAAAAAGCAAGTTTAACCCACTCGTGCGCACCAGCGACCAGCCTTCCAGGTTTCGTAACAAATAGCTCTCATTTCGCAGGCCGTTTTGTTCCAAACAAATTTGGATCGTTAGCTGAGATCATACGTTATCTAGGACCCCGAGCAGCACTGCTGAACGTGCATTATGAGTGCCCACGTAGGCGAAGTGTCTTGAATAAATCAGCCCACTGAGAGTTGGGTAGATTCCCGAAGAAGTGGTCAATTTTTACTTATTATGCTCTTCAAAGGAACTCTGCTTGTAAAGCCAGAAAATGAGGGGAGCGTCTGACATGGCGAAATGAAAAAAAAAAAAGGGCAAACAGCAGCGCGAAATTCGAACTTTTGCGCATTTTCAAGATACGCGTGCCTTTTTTGTTTACAAACGGTAGTTAAAAATGTGTTAGAACTTCAAAGACAAAGCAATGAAGAAGTATAGGCAATGATGTGTGCATAAAATACAAGTGCACGCAGCAGTTAGAAACTTCAGTTGGCTTCTTCGCTAGCTGTAAGTGCCACAGGGGAACCAGTAGGGTGTCATTACATATATCATTCCCACTACCGATGGAATCATATATGTACGACAGTATTTTGCTCACTTTCGCGTTCATTTGTTCAAGCCGTGTTCACGCTCAGCATTTCATATACTTCCGGAAGTGCCCTCGTTACCGTTTCGCTTAAACCTGGCGTAGGAGGTTTGTACTCAGTCTAAACTATTTGCGTTTTAATAGCAAGTCTATTTAAAGTGAGCGTAAATAATTGAAGATTATCATACGCCTTTTATTGCCCAACTGCGAGAGCGAAGCGTGATGATAAGGAGAGCGTTTTTAAAGCTAAGTGGGGGAGAGAAGCCTAGTGTAGCGAGGAGAGTGTGGTAAAGTAAGAGTAGCGACAAGAAGAGCGCCCAGCTTGGTTGAGAGGGAGAGAGCCAAGCTGTGGGGGGGGGGGGGGAGGTGGCAGGTGATGCGGACAGAAGGAGAGAGAGGAGGAGGAAATCGGCCGATGGTAGTGCGCTCTCGAGCACTCTTGGAGATGGGTGGAGTTGAGAGAGGACGAGGGGCGCGCAAAACGTCGGAGAAAGCGGAGGACAGGCTTGCTGATGCCACCGGCTCCACTGTTTATTCAGGATTCGCAATGTTAGCTGCCATTTGAAGCTGCCCATAATTTTGAGAGCTTCCTACTATTTTTTAGTTTCGTGCAACTGTGCATGGCATTTTTTTTTTCTGCTTACATGTCGTAAACCTGATCTCACTAAAGGTGACACGAACTCTTGATGGGCTATCCTTGTAACTTACCCATTTGGTCTTCAACCAGATATTTTATAATATGAACAGCACAGCTCACATTTCTTTCACTGCATTCGCGTGCTGGGTCCAGACCACTCAAAGTGCGGGGGTTTCTAACCTCTACCAAACAATAGCTGTCAAATCTAACTTTAAACTCGTTGACACACTTTTATATCTAGAATGAGTGCTTACCTGGAAAGCTTAAGAACCCGTTCTTACATTCGATACTAATGTTCGTAAACAGATAGCAAAGCACGCAAGCGGCCTCACTTGAAAAAATAAGCACTAACAATAAACCATGACGTCAACGGTAAAACTTATATTTTCTCGGGATTGTATGGAACCAAAAATAAATTTGATATCCTGCTCCCAAACTCTTGTCACAAACTTAAAAGTATGGCAGCTTGGGCCAGTTGGTATGGCATGACGATAGTTATAGCGCGAGAACAAAACGACGACGCAGAGACAAGAGGGCAAGTGTCGACATAAAGACAAGTTTCTTTCGTGTCTTTCTTGTCTCTGTGTCGTCGTTTTGTTCTCGCGATATAACTATCGTCTTGTGACATGGTTAGAACAAGAGCTTGAGCGCTAACTATAGCATATACTGAACCCTGGTACACTTCGGTAGGCTCTCATTTCCATTATATATACAAAGGTACTGGGACACTTCATTTACTTAGCTGAGAAAACAATGCAGTGGGGGTGTTTATCTTGTCAGGAATAGCTCATGGCGTAGGTAAGCTCCTACAAAATGATCTGGCTGAGACTTCGTCGTCAAAACATTTACTTTATTCACAAGGTTGGGGTGGGGTTGGCGCTGAAGACAGGGTGCAGATAGCATTTCAAACAAACCGTACTGTGTTTATCCTTGTTGACCTTCAAAGACTGACCGGTAATTACTGAAGCGTTCAAAACAGCACCAGATATTATCTTTCCAGAGAGGAAAATTAGAGGGGTGGCCAACACATACCGATAGACTGACTTCCCACGCAACAAACTGAACTCAGCATGTTGCACGAACCGTAGAAATGTCCCACGTCAGAAGTATACTCGCAACGAGTACAGGTTTCGGAAGCGGCGTTATAGTGCGAACCAGGACAGCTGTGGAGGCAGCGCAATATTCTCTCGGTCGCCGACTGTCATTCTGCGCTCGCAAGTTCAATCAGCTGGGCAGGTGGGGAATTACTGCGGCGCAGAGAGCGGATGAGCGATGCGAATCGACTTTCGCTGCGTGATGAAACTTTGACCGTTGCAATAGTTTCGCACATGCGGAAACATTGCTTCGACGGAGAACACAGTTAATAAAAAGGGCAGTCGATTGAAAGGCTCCTTCTCTCCTTCGGCTTTAAGGGGCATCCTCAGAGAAAGATAGAGAGAGGCCAAGAGAAATATTGGAAACACCTCCAAGTGAACCATTTCTCTGACAACTCACGTGTCTCGTCCGTCGTTCAGCGTCCTGATCATGGGTCGATTAGCTCTCGGTACGCTGTCTGATGGCAGTAGTTCGCTCGAACGCTGTTTCTTACAGGAGCCTATTACGGCTAGGCATTCTCGGGGAGATCCCGGACTTGGATCCACTCTTTGTAGTGAGTCTTTTTTTCGGTTAGGCAGGGCACCTGCAGATAAGCTACTATGTTCGTCGCCTCAAAGAAGTTGAGCGTAAAAGCGTTTCTAAGGCAACTGTTTGAGAGTGGTGAAGATCTACAGAAAGTGGCAGCCTAGGCTATGAAAAGGGCAATAAATGAAAACATGCTTTGTCGCCTCGCCCCTGTTCGAAAACTTTTATGATGCATTGTTCATGGCCTTGCCAACACATATTCATTAGAGTATCACATTAAAACGTGTACGTGCTTCGAATAAATTTCCAAATTGCCCGTGTAGTTATTTTTATTTCATAACGAATAATGCAAGCATACTAATATTTTAGTAGTGTGTTGAAAAACACCAGGTATTTAAAGGTCGTGCGTTTGATAGGTAATGAAATGTGGCACTGACAAGGCGAAACATGCGTAGTTTATTTAATCAGCCAATGCAGAGTTTATATGAATCATATTTTTCTGTTATTTTTCTCTGTCTAGTCGTGAATTATGTTCTCGTTAAGAGTTCGTGGATAAAGTGGGCTAAATACACTGAAAAAAAAAAGCTTCAGTGGCTAAATTTAAATGCAGTGTTGCCATGCTTTGTGGACCAAAAGTCTGATTGTGGCAATTATTACAGCTGCAAAGCTCAAGCTAAGCCCTCGATGATTTGTGGGGTTTAACGTCCCAAAACCACCATTTGGTTATGAGAGACGCGCTAAGCCCTCGAGTCGACGACATTAAAAAATTAAGAAACGTAACGAAAGCAACATATGTTTATACATAACCTGCCGTGCTGCCAACATTTTCCGGGCATATCTATTAGCATCTTACAAATTTTGCTTTACATAGTACATTTTAAATACCCAGTATGCTACCTGCTGGAGGTAAGATTTATATGTTACATCTACCACCGAAAGCTGTCGTCTGCAGTGTTGTGTGTTGTTGATTGTCAGAAATGCGTCACTCACCTGAAGTAGCAGAATATGAACATGGTAGCGGACAGGAATATCAGAGACAGGAGAGAGAACAGCAGGAGAATGTAGCTGACTGCCAGGGAAACCACAGCGGACATCTCTTGAGGCTGCAAGTGGAAAAAGAAGTGACAGATAACGAATTAGTGAGGGAGCGGTAAGGCATTAAAATAAGCCATTAAGCTCAACATGAAATTGAAAAAATTCAAATAAGGTGATTGAGCATCTTGACCGCGAGTGATTATGCTCGAGTACTCCTAAAATAGTGTTTACAAAGGCTGATGAGTTACGCCAGCGATCGAAAACTTCTGTTCACTGGAACAACGTTCCTGTGTACGCACATGCATGTTTGCGTACACTCCTCTTTTACTGTGTCTTTTCATTATTGCGACAGCTACTGTGTCTTTTTATTATTGCGATAGCAAATAAATAAACACTCTAGGCTCGATTTTGCCGCCGGCGTCACTCACCATGTATGTGTACGTATCTATATATGTGAAAATGCAACAAAGAAAAAAAAACAGAGAAAACACTCTGGCGCGCGGAATTGACCGTGGGTGGGTCCTTTCAATCATGAGTGCGAGGTATTATCCACTGCGCTCCCGAGAAGCAAGCCCTTCTACGTTCGAACGGCAAGATATTTTTATCTACCACTTACCGCTGCTGCCGGCTATCTCGGGGTGTATTGTGTGTTTAGCATTACCAGCAAGATGGCGCAATGAGCGCGCGTCGCAACATCGCACGGCAGCGCGCGCTCTTATCTCCCACGCGTACTTTGCCCCGCTTAGAAGAGGGGAGCGGCGCTCCCTCGCGCGCCCTTATCTCGCGGTGGTGAGGAAGGGAAGATCCTCCGTCTTGGTTGGCCTCGGACTTTACCGGAATGATTCTGTTGTAGTTACCGGGTGCACAAACGTCACTGCATTCACTGCAGTCTCCGTTTGCGAAAATCGCGCGCTTTTCAGACAAAGCGAAGTAATAACTGATACGCTTATTCGTGTGAATCTGTACCTGTGAGTACGTTTCGTGTGTCATTTCTGCGTGAGAAAGGCAGGGAATGTTTTTATCTGCTTTGCATTCTGCACGTGACCTTCAAATTTGTCGCTATCGCATTACTTGCTTCGCATTTGCGGCAAAGCTGTGGCTTTCTTTTGTCTCACTCTATTTAATCTTTCTAGTCTGTGTTTTTCCAACACCGTTCAGGGCAGCAGAACGAGTACTAGTACCAGGTTGATTTTCCTGCTTTTCTTTTCCATCTCTCTCTCTATCTCTCTTTGTCTCTATTAACTAACACAAACAAGCCTGGACCAATGGAACGGTTCCATTTGAATTCCCTCCCCCCCTGTCACCATTTCTTTTTCGAGATTTGTCAGATGCAGTGGCAGTGCTTCCTTCGGTCGTCTGAGTTCGCTTCAGTAACGCCCTACTAAAAAACTCACAAGTAACCAAAGCGAAAGTGCAAACCAAGTTAGCAGTACTGTAAACTGTTATGAATGAAAAGAGAAGACGTCGTGTTAGTACGTTGTTAAAGCCAGTCAAGCTCCCCTATAGTAAACTATTTCGGAGCGAATATGCACCGTGCATATCACAACACACGAGAAAAGGGCAGCAAGACCTCCGTCAATACCAAAAAGAGGTGATTTTGTCAATGTAGATACCATTCGGTCGTTATGAATATGACATTGATAATCTAACTTCTCTATCAAGTACGTCATAAAATGCTTTCCATCAAACACGTGTGGTACACATCTACATACAGCTACCCCTGGCATGAGGTTATGTGCCACGGGTGAACTCAGTCTAGTACAACCTAAATTTCGAAAATCTAAACACGACAACGCGAAAAAGACCATTTATTCGTCATCATCAAAGTGTGAATTATCCCAATAAATACAAAGAATGAAAATCCCAGCGTGAGCCGGTATCAAATCAAGGCATTCTGCATAGCAGTCAAGCATTCTACCACACAGCCAGTACAGGCGTTATGTCAGGACAACACCAGTTGCAATTGCTGAGTTGACTCGGCGATTTGTTGGAAATGTTACAAATAATAAACGTGTGCACCTATGAATGCAAAAATTGACTGTGAGTTAATCATTGCATTTGACTTCACACCATTGCATTCTAACATGCACTTAGTAAAAAATTAAACTCACGCGTTTATGTTCTAACGAAGGCGTCCACTTGACGTCGCACCGCGAGCCTTCCTTTACATCTCAATGTTTTCGGCATGCCCAGTATATAGGCTCACAAAATACGTTCAACTACTAAATTTAGACGAAGACTTCGATGCATCTCTTAAGCCTGGCTCAAAGCGAAAAAATCTGTCATAGGCTCCTTCCCTCTGACTGCTTAGCATAGCAACGATTCCCAGACTATGCTTTGCGTTGGAAATATTCCGGTATTTCGAACGCTTGTTGTCAGGGCGCAAATTATTGCCACGTGTGAAGCGAAACAGACTCTCAGTTAGTTTGTACGTATGCTTTTTTTGAGCAACGTAAAGAACCTTTTAAATTTTTTCATGCACCGTGACCTATTCTCTCCTGACGAATGTCTCTGTTAAACTACGACTTGCGGAGGTATAGAAATATTAGCGGTCCACCTTGGTGTAACAATGGCTGCGGTGCTTGGCTGCTGAGCCAAATGTCGCGAGTTCGATCCCGGGCGTGGCGTTCGCATTTTCATCGATGCGAAATGGTCGAGACTCTTGTACTGTGCGATGTCAGGTCGACATTTCCGGAGCCTTCCGCTGCGGCACTTCTGATAATGGTGATGCCGTGGTTTTGGGACGTTAAACCACAGATATTATATTAGAATTACTGGCTGAAAAGCATGAGCTGTGGTTACTCTGCTGAAGGCAAACTGAAATCAATATGGAGCTAGCGGACGCTGTGATGCAGTACAGCACAAAAAAAAAAAACAGAATAATGCACGAACAAGCCGACTCTCCACTTTAATCTAGTGGACGTGACACACAAAGACATGAGTTAATGGTTGAACACTGAACATTTTCTCACTTAGAATCTCTTTTTTCCTCTCTGAGTTGTTTCGGCAACAAAAAAAAAAATTCATATGCAGGGAAACACATTAGGCCTTCCCGTGAAATGAACGTAATCTGCAATCGATTGCGCTCGGCTCGATGAGTTTCGTCGCTCGTTGCAGGCGTGTTCCTTCATTTTATAGTCGTTACAGCGCAGGGCATTGCTTAGTGCTATGTATGTGGGCGCCCAAATGTGCCTCATGGTTCTTACATTCATAGTGCAAAATTCATGCGGAATTTTACTGGTTCTACTGTACTGTTGTTGTGGTGAAACTGAATTAAGCAGTGCCTCGGTTACCCCATTACTCGGTTACGCAGTGAAAAATTATTGATAATGAGAGAGGAATAAACTGGGATAAATATGAATAGACGAAACCAATGCGATTCTTCGAGTATGTACAACAAAAACTATCCTCTGCAATAATTTATTCAGATTAACGTTTGAAGTAGCAATAAACTTTCGGTTGACTTGGCAGTATGTTGTATAGTCTGAGAAGCTTTGTGGCAGGAAGATTTCTTTGAAATTGTCGTTATGATCAATAGAGATCATGTTTTTGTTTAATAAGCACGTGTGAGCCAATTTACTAATGAAAGTAACACGGCCACCTATTGTTTTATGCTCTAAGTGCCAAACGTTCACAGCTTGACGAACTAACAGCAGAATCCGGTGATTGCATGTATTGAAGCAAAAAACTACATGTGATAGTGCAGTTTGCATGCTTAACAACATGTGCACAGGATTTTACGCACCACAACTACGATATTTATTTTATTTTAGTTATCTATTTTATTTATTTAACAGTACTGTAGGCCTTTGTACAGGCCCATACAGGAAATGGTTAAAAAAGTACACATGAGCACGGACATATAAATTCGAAAACGAAAGCAGAACATAGAATGCCTCAGTACATAATGCTTCAGTAGTAGATTAACAACAACGCAAAAAATGCGGAAACATATGATTGTTAGCAACATATGGTTATGAAAGGCATCATAGTGTAGGGCTCCAGAAATTTTGACCATCTCTGATTTGCATACTTATTTGGCGTGTTGAGAGCTTGTACCGGACCTGCAGAAGGCACCATAATTTCCGGCACGTGGCTCTTTTTTTCGGACAACACGCCCAAACATGCCAAGCACATCTAAATCTAGGCTTTTCATGGATAAATATTGTCACAGTGCATGTAAAGCTCCATGCTGACAAAAGCAATGAAGAACCAAGCAGTGTTGTTTTTTGTCTCGGACTTTCAGATTTGCGGCGTAAAAATTGTTATATCGACTCCACGACACGCTCAAGCTTTAGGCTCACCCTATTTGGACTCTAAGCAACGACACGCTTTAATTATGGCCCTCGCAAGTTATTCAAACATTGCTGCCTTTCGTGGGATGTTCAGCTCAGCCTCGGCGAAGAAAGCTCTCACTCGAAACACGCACGCAACCTGTTATGAGTGCATATTTCTTTTAGTTCTATTTTTCGTTCGCTGCCCGCAGGGCTATCACACACATCACGTGCATGTTAGGATGGCTCCTCTTTCTTTCGACAGATCCGATAACAGGAAAATATATGAAACCGTGTGGGGCTCTCACCGAGGAAAAGGCGTAATTAAAGGACATGTCCGGGCTTTTTTGGCCAAGCCGCTTCTAAACAAGGACTCTGCCGAGTGAGCGTGTCTTGATTACAGTTGGCCATCTTCATCTCCTTCAACGTGGCAGCGGCTTCTTGAGTTTTTCGCAGCATTTGTGCTTGGAATGTCACGTGACTCGGCGCGAAACGCTGGGAACACGATGCACGCACCTGTTGCCCTTTTTTTCATCGTGAGGCAGCTGCGTTGTCACCACGACTAGAGCTTTCGTAAGCCAACTGGAGCTTCGATACACCAAACCTGGGGCGTACGAACGGGTTTTCATTGGGCAAGAGGTATTCGTGGTAGAGTGACAATAATGAACGAAATGTATTTTTGTTTCTTTTTCTATCATGTGGCCATTTGGTGTGCAGGAGGTGTTAATCCTTTCAAACAGCACCGGCTACTCTTTTTCATTAATAATCGGATACGTAAAAGTCGCAGCAATTAAAAAAAGTTCCATAAAATAGCACCTAAACTGAGTTCATGTAAGTGTACACACGCACACGCACACGCACGCACACACACACAAACACACGCGCGCGCGCATGTACACACAGTCTCATCCCATAACTATATAGTTCACATAATTGAGTCACACGAAGACGGTATAAATGGTCAATAATATTATACAACGCCCAGTGGCACACTAGCCATAAAAAATTGCACATCCTAGTCATAGGAACTCCAAATGAGTTCGCACATGAAGCGACACATAAGCAGCACTGTTAGTTCAAATTACAGGCGTAAAATAAGCCTGAGAAGGTTTTCTAACGGCTTATAAGAACACAACTCCACTGTAAGAACGTTTGACTGCTAACAGTCCACATTTCTGCCAGGGCTGTGTTGGCCAAGGAGCTTGGATTTCGCTGAGGCAGAACGGAGTGTGGCCCACTGACGTACGACCTCGTATTAGCTGTTGTCTTTTGTCCACACATCAAGAGCATTTCAATAGAGTATGTGGTACATCTCATCCGCGTGCCACATGCGCATTCAAGGCTCTCTGCTTGTGGAGTATATATACTTGACACTCGCCCTTGCCACAAAGAAAGCTTTCTATTCCCTTAAGGAGCGTTTCGATTTTTTTCTTTCGAGTAAATGTCTGAAGCCCCAGCGCCCGCATAATGTAACCACCCTCATACGCAGCATAGGTGGAGGGCGTGAATAGTTGTCCTTGCTTGTTTGAATACAAAATAAGTTGCATGACACATGCCATCAACTTGCCGGACATTCTCACTCACTCTTTCTGTCTCTTTGCATAGCACGGATATGGAGGATTATCAAAAAGCTCTTCGCGGGTATGTGCCACAGGTGATTGACACTTAGTATCTACCCAGGAACAACGAGAACAATAATGGGAAATTTTAACGTGCGAGCGTTAAGAAATACCCGACATCGGTAGCGTCGACCCGACGAATGCAAAGAATAAATGTCGGGGTCCCAGCTGCAATCGAACCCAAGCATTCTTCGTGGTAATGAAGCATTTTAGCACAGAGCTACGCCAGGCCTCGGAACTACTTTTCAAATAAACGCTAGTCTTCGTGAAACGTCAAAAGTATTTGCAGTGCTGCCTGCCCAGTTTCATAAACATTACATGTGTGCTCCTTTGATACAGACGTCACGTTGGGTAACGTCAATTGTGGTTAGTTGCCATGCGCTGAAATTGATTTATGCAGCAGTGTCCAGGGCCAGCATCCTCGCGAGCATCGGTGCTTCATATCACCTTCTGGTGTTCCTAACACGCCTGTCCCAGTTGGCATCGTTGCGCAACTGCAAACGACTGGTTAAGTAAACATCTGCAACTCTTCAACATATGTCTGTGCGTGCAACATTTGTACATATATTTAGCGTCATTTCGTAAAATTTCGCTCAATGGAAAAATTACAACATGGTCACCTTCCCTCCACACGCTTCGCATAACGTCGATTGCCAGGCACGTCGGATCGGCCGATTTTTTTTTTCTCTTTGAAACGTAGAATATTTTCTTATTATGGGTGTTACAAAGTTGAGTTTTATGCTGACGCCTCTCTCTGTCTGTGAGAGAGAAAGGAAAAAAGAGAAAGAAAAAGATAAAATAAAAGGAGATGGAAACATATTTATCGTGGTGGTTGATAGACCGAGAATTGATTAGACTGGCGCTGGTATCGAGGTAAGTTTAGGTGGCGGCAGGCTTACCTCATGATTGATGAGGCCGAGACATTCAGTGTAGTTAGTCCAGTTGCCCCACAGCCAGTTGCCGTCAGGACCGCAAACTCTGTAGGCGTACAGACCTGCAAACACGAAAAGACATGGCGAAAACGTTGCGGAACTCAGTCTCCAGGGATGAACGCGACAACCACACGTGCCTCGGCAGATAAAATAACAACTGTGATCATCCAAGTTAAGCACAAAAGTCAGGCCAACGATGCTATGGTATTCATGGGCGAAACACTTTGGGGAATATTGGATTGCTGACGACACCAAGAACAACTGACCTAGTCAGCACTGCTCTACCTTCACGTGTCGATGAGGTCCTTATCAATACCGTATTACACGACGAAAGGCTTCTTAAGCGGATACGACAGCACTCATGTTTGCATAGCATATAGAAGAGTCGGGATATCAACAGTTATGGGCACGTAATGAAATATTGTGTCACATTACGCTGAACCAAGAGACAAGTAAGGATGAACAAACAAATGGTACAGAGTTTTGCTCGTTTCTGTACCTTAATAATAAATACGCCATTAGGTAAGTTATCACTAAATAATTAAACTACAGTTACGTTCGTGTACGCACATTGCATGATGTGCAAACCAATTTGCTTTTCGATTTGTTTTCGATAGGAGAACCCTTGCAGGGCCTGTATATTTGTATGTTTTGAATGAACCCTCTGAAATTGTTATTCCGAGAACATGGCATTGAAAAAAAAAAGTTAACTCACAGGGTTCCTTGTGCAATCGCCTAAAATGATTCTAATGCAGAACTAAGATGACTAATTGAAAATTAGAGAGAAAGGAGAAAAAAAAGGAAGGCAGGGAGGTTAACCAGATGCTACTCTCCGGTATGCTACCCTACACTGGGGTTGGGGAATAGGGTGTTGAAAGAGAAAAAGAGAGTTAAAAATAAATAAGAGAAAAACACTGACACACACACGCACACACAAAATCAGTCCACTCAGAGGCGTTCCGACAGGCCAGTAGTTCGCAAGAAGCCCAGTAGCGCTTGAACGGCTTTCTTCTGTGACGATGAGTCATGACGGTGGCGCAGTATTCTTTCTTCTGACAGCGGCTGGTCATATCACCTGTTTAGTGTATTAGAAAGGTGTTGTCTCTCCAGGTTGTATTCTGGGCAGTCCCACAGGATATGTCAAATTGTTTTTTCATCTCCGCAGTGTGCACAGTCGGCGGTGTCGGCCATCGCTATGCGTAACGCGTACGCACGGGTAAACGCGACTTCCAACCATAGTCTGCACAGAGCAGCAGCGTCACCTCGTCGAATTTTTGTTAGAAGCTGTAAGCTTAACGTTGGATTAAGGGATCGTAATCTTGCATGCGTTAAGAGAGGCTAATTCCAAAGAGCCATGGAGCGTTGGCGAGCAAGCATGTGGAGCCTCCTAGCAGCGTCCGTCCTTGAGAGAGAGTGCCTCCGAGGTCAGAGGAACTACAAGCTTTTGGAACATTTCTTGCCTCCGCAATCAGTGACCAAGCGACAGTATCATCTGGTGACATCAGTCACTATGACATCACTATGACATGATGATGATGGTGCTCATTTTGGAGACGTGACACCGTCGTTGCGTCCTAGAGCTGACGTCATCACATGATGATCTTTTTGAACCACTCGTGTTGACACTGGTGGGCACATTTCGCGTTTCATAAAACAACTAAGGCCGTTACCTCAATAATTTTCGATGCACCCCGGGACGATAACGTCGGCCATTTTTCTTCGCTCGATCAATCTGTCATGCGTTCTAATGAAAAAGTGAAGGTTAGCCGCTAACTGCGAGACGTGCGTTTTATGTCGTGCGAGTTTCGCACGGTCACAGCTCCGTATAAGTTGCGTCCACGCTTGGGCGTGCGTGCGTTTGAATTCGCGAGTGAATAGCAAAAGTAAACTCGGCTTGCCCGTTTCACCTCCTACGTCTTCGAGGACGCAGAAGCCAGTCCACGTTGTCCAAAGGGAAGCTAATGCACCGAGAAGAACCCGCGCGCCAGTCCTCTTAGTAATATCCATGCGCCGCAGGCGGGCTAATAAAAAAATGGTGGTTCCGAGCGTGAAACCATGGCGTCGACTTTCACGGTCATTCAGAGAGACTGCTGTGAGATGCCTTCACTGGATGTTTCTTTTGCGCACGCAGAATCACTTTTATGGCAGGCTGACGTCCACACAACCACAACTTGCATTGTGGTGACACTTCAGCCGATATTCAAGGCAACGGCTGTAAAAGTGCGTTTTGTGGAAAGCGTAATCTACCAAATGATGAAAGAGTGCCCACAAAATTGTGTCACCGAGATTTACAATGAGCTTTGGGCGAAAAGATGCGTCATGCCATTTTCTTGTCGTTTATTTGTGTTGTCGTCAGAGACGTTCGGTTCATAGATTTTCGGGAGAATATGTAATAAGAGGGCGACTATTTGCACTCTCTAATATGAGTGGCATTGATATAGATTATAAGATATTCTTCAAAACAAGCCTAGCGTAAGCTCTCTCTGAATACTGGGGCCCTGTTTTTAGTTTTATTTCTTGGGAACATCACGTATGCGGGGCTGGTGCTGATCCCCTTCTTAGGCATGGAATTGCGTCATTTGATTGAATAGTATCGCAAACAGCAAATCAAAAGACCAAAAACAAAACTGTTGGCCTTCACATGGAGCTGTAGAAACACTTTTTCTTCATTTGTTCTTAACGAGCATGCCTGTTGTTAACACAGCAGGCGTCTATAGCAGCAATGAGCGTCTATACAAATGGGCAATCGAATAAACTTGTGACAGTGTTTACTCAGCTTGAGTCTCTTCATTTAATGCATTAATAGTCAGGCAGCGTAACGAGGTCATTATGAAACGTATTCAGTTGTTTTTGTGTTTGTGAGTTCACTAACCAATGACGTATACGAGCCTCATTGGTTAGCGTATCAGTGCGAGCCTGTAGCACTGTTCTGTTCATGCGGGGATAACGAAGCGATTACTGTGGCAGTGGGCCTGTCGTGTGTGCGTGGTGGTGGCAGTAAAAACTTTATTTTTTTGGGAAGCAAAGAGGCGATAGGACAGAGATTAGCAAAGGTTGCTACGCTTGGTAGTCCTCCGTAACCTTCTCTGCCCAACCCTGGATGGCCTCCTGTAAGTCGGGTTTCAAGCTGCGCAAGGCAGCCTAATTTCCTGACGAGGTGATTAGTAAATACGGGGTTACATTATTACACGCGATACGTCTGTCGTAAACAGTGCAGTGCAAGTTGATGTGTTCCGGCCACGTGGTGAAAGCCAAATGCGTCTCCATCATGCAAAGGTGGATACTCAATGCGAGAAATAACAAGCCACGCTTAAAATGACAGTGTAGGGGCAGAATTCTCGAATATTTTCCCTCGTAAATGTTTTCTACCTCAAGTCAGCTACCTGCTTCAATTGTGTGTCCAGTAACATTACTTGTTGCAAAGGAAAGAAAGAGATAGAAAGAGAGATGAAGGGAAAGATTCTTTTTGAGGCGGGGTTTGATACCGTGAAACCCACGATCCGAAGACGATTGTCTATACCCGTTCGGATATCTAGGCATGCTGACATAGCCGCGCCATTTTATTGTACCTTTGTTCAAAAACTTGGATTAATATTGAACGTTTTTGTAGAGAGGCGGGTGACCTGACAGTGGGGCAGCACGGGTGCACTATGGAACCATGCCACAACAAGCTGCTTGCTGTGAGAGCGTCTTGATTTGGGCGAGCTATCTTGCTCGGGGGTGAACCAAGCATGAAGTCTAGCCGTTACAGTTTCCTTCAGTTTGACATTGAAATTGAACGATTCGCAGCCGCTTAAACTTTCGTGGAAGGCGCCGGCCCCACTACATGTAGCATATGACGTCACACAGGACATCCTAAAATGGCGGCCGCCAGCGGTGGGTGGTGCTTACTGCCGATAACACTTAGGAGGTATTTAACCTACACCTTTAAAGGTTAAAACGCGACCACGATATCTTGTCTCTTGAACGTAGTTCTAGCGTTTAGGCCAGGAAATATTTTTGAACTGGCCATGCACACAACACGCGGTTTTAAGGAAATACGTGCAGTAACGTGAGAGCCTTTTGTAACGGGTGACCGAGTTTAAACCATAAGTTCATCACATGTTCTGCCGTCTGCGGCTGGGCGTAGCCTTCACCAATGCCTACTCATTTAGGACAGGGATGACCGACAGCGCAGAGTGCAACGACTGCGCCGTCGATGAGACACATCTTATGTTGCTGCCCGGCATACACAAACGAGAGGCTTCACCTGCGCAGTGTTTTAAATCAACTGGAGAGAAGTGATTTCACTGTCGAGAAAGTATTGGGACAATGGTACTGCCCATCCAGTTTCCGAAAGGCAACGAAAGCACTGTTGAATATCTTAAAGACACCAGCCTGTTTCATCGTTCGTGATGGTGAAACTGTTACGCGTTGGCCCAGACAGTGACCTTTTATCTCCTCCTCTATAACTTTCCTTCCCCTCTCCCCTTCCCAGTGCAGGGTAGCCTACCGGGTCTCAGCCCTGGTTAACCTCCCTGCCATTCTCCTTGTGTTCTCTCTGACGCCCGATGCAATGTACGCTTGTACCACGCATTATTACGGCAATATTTCATGTTGTACTGTGAAGCACGTATACAGGACACGTATGTTTGTAAAGCGTGAAGGTTACTTTCACGGAATTTCCGAGCAGAGGAAGTTACTTTCGCTGCATTCACGAGCAGACTAGTGCTTGTAGGGTAAAACATCCGCCTGCCACGCAAACGACCAAAATTCGATCCCCACTTGAAACCACAAATTTTTATTAAAATAATTTTATTTGCATATTTCTCGATTTTCGGTAACGCACAAGATGATAATTTTTCGCTCGTAACCAATGACGCCGACACCGAAGCCGGTGCCAGTATCCTGGCGGAACAAGCTCTTTAACGCTATCGCGTCAATGGACCCTGCAATTCTTCATTTTCGCTGATAACCGTGAACCGTGGTGTGGCCGAGCCGCGACCATTTGCACGACTCAGGCAAGTTGAAGCGTTCACGTGTTTTAGTGTTGTAAACAAAGAGAATCTGTACACATCAATGC